TTCATGTGGGATTCGCAATCCATTACTGAGCTGGTTAAAATCGTTTCTAAGCAATAGGGTACAAATAACCAAGGTTGGATCTGTATTGTCTCATCCTATGCAGATCACAAGTGGGGTTGTGCAAGGTAGTGTCCTAGGTCCACTCTTATTTACAGTATACATTAACAGCATTTGCAACTGCTTCACCTCAGGTAAATCATTCCTATATGCTGACGACCTCAAAGTCGTTTACTCCTGCTACGCTCATGAACTAAGCGATATGGTAACTAAAATACATCTTGAACTAAGTGGTCTCGCAACATGGTGTACTGAATCCTGTCTAAAGTTCAACATTGATAAATGCGGCTGGATTTGTATCGGCAACAGTAACCTTGACCTGAATCTTGAAATAAATGGGCGTAAACTAGCCAAGCTCAACTCAGTCGTAGATCTCGGTATCAGATACTCTAGTAACTTAACGTTCTCTGAACAAACTGATTATGCCAGACGTAAAACACGAAGGCTCCTAGGATGCATAACTCGCAATTTCTTTTGTTGTGAAACTAGGGTTTTATTATATAAAGTATGTGTCCGACCTATTTTAGAATACTACCCGTTTATTCTTAGCGGACTCAGGCAAAATGACAAGCTTAAGTTAGAAGGAGTGCAACGGCAATTCACCTTAAGAATTCTTGGTTTAGAAAGTGGTCTCCAATACTATGAACGTTGCGACAGACTAAGATTAGAACCACTCTGGAAAAGACGTCTTAAGCTAAACCTGATTTTTTACTACAAGCTAACTAATCTGCTCGTGCACTCCTCCGAGCCAATAATTAAACTTACCACTGTCATCAGTTACAATCTTAGAAATCACCACAACCTAGCTGCTATAGAGCATTGTCAGACTTACATGCGGTATAATTTCTTCTTAAATAAGTTTTCAGTCATTTGGAATAGGCTACCAGCTGATGTGCGCGATGCAAACACACTCGCAGTGTTCATCTCCTCAGTCACCAAACTGCTCAAAGATGACAGTGCACTTCTGCGTCTGAATCCTACACCCACTTTTTCGTCCAACATAGATATTTTAAGTTCATTAAACGTGTAGTTACAACAAACTACAATTATAAATTTTTATATTATTGGAAGTATATGATAGACATTTTTACACAGGACAATAATATTAGCTCACACAATATAAAAGTTAGCATTACGGGAATAGTTAGTTAGTGCACCAAAATAACTATAATTACTAAACAGAATATAAATGTATATATACATATTAATCACTCCCTAAGTATTCCACTTGTTTGCTTTTGCGTTGTTGTTGTTTGTCTCCTTTTGTCTCTCACCATTTCAGCTTCCATTTGACTTTTTGAATGAGAATGAAGAATGTGGATATTTGACCATTTACAATGACAAATGATCTGCAAACATTATTGGTCCGATATCTTACAATTCCCCACGACGTAACTTGGATTACAGTTGTGAAATATATCTTCATACCAATAAAAAAGTGTTGATTTATGATACTTCATGATTGTATCTTACAACATAACTGATCTTGTCTGCAAAAATAGCTTGCATTTCTTGAAAACACCCGTTTATAAGAATATATAAACTATCATTATTATTAGTCTACATTGTGTACAATTCACTTATGATGTTACGATGAAAATGCTGACAAAAGTATACAAGTGGATTACTTATTTTAAATTATTATCAAATTTGGATATAAATCAAGAATAAGACTCGATGCCGTACACACCAAAGTTATATGGAGGAATTACTTCAAGCTTTATTTTTTTCCCAAGTATTTGTAATCCATCCAAAACATACTTGGGTTTTTTTTGTTAATGCGAAGATAATATTTCTATATTTCTTGATGTGCTCCATTGAATGACTAGTTATCATATTGTTCCCATAGACAAATGAATGCAACCTTATAATTTTACCATGAACCAAATTTATGTAATTTAAATAATACTTATCCATGCCTGTACAATTGGTGTGTCCTACACAGGTAGGAAAAAATGTATTTTATTAAATTACTTTTATTAAATATGCTTACTAATCGTATATGTAATTTATCATATTGATGATGCCTGTAAACTGGCGTCCCTCATGTAAAAAAATGAGAATATACTATTATTATTATTATTATCCATACACCGGAAACGTATATGGGATGGACAACTAACTAAATTGCATAGTTGGGTGCCTATCTCCAGGATCAAGGAAATTAATTAATTCGCTCTGCTTTATCATAGGAAACATTTGTAGTTCTAGCTGTGTTGACTCACAACTTTCCTTCCTTAGAAACCACGCTTCCAGAAAGAGGTTACCCAAACCGATTTATTGACAAGAACATGAAAGATAAGCAGTGCAAACTGGCCACCGACTCACTTCCAAAGAAAACCATATTCATGAACTTGGAATTCAGAGGTAATCACTCCTCAGATTTACCCAAAAATTGTCTGTCTAAAGCAGTCAGTCAGTAAGACATTCTTTCCAGCAAAATTACAGATGACGTTCACCAGCCATAAGTCGTTCTCCATCTCTGTAAAAGATAAGCTTCCTCATCTGGTCGCATTCATTTGCATCTATCACAGTTTACCTGCTGTTGTGGAGCAAGGTATATTGGCCATAGATAGAGGACGCTTTCCACAAAGATGAGAGTACATATTCTGGCATGCTTTTACAAGGGAGAAAGGAATGTTGTGCGAAGCGCTATTCTAGAACACATGGTCGATTCTTGTCACTCTATCGAATTCACGATAACTTGCTGGCCGCACTTTCCTCGTTATGAACTTCCAAAGACAGTGGAGGCCATGGGTGTTCATAAATCCATGCCATCCTGACCTTTGTGTACAAAAACAAGTATGTACAATGCTTAATTCTGCCTTGGCTATATGGAAACATTTATTTATTTAATTTTATTTATTTTGTTGAATAAGTTAATCTATGTACCTTTTCCTCACTACTACAATTGTCATTATTACTATCATTATGATCACCATTACCATCACCGTTCTCACTCTGAACGATTTCCAATTGCCCCACTTTTCATTCTAAACACCCCCAAAAATGTCTTTTACAATGCTGAATTCCTTCTTATCAAATTTCACACCGTGTCATGTAACGTTTCATATTCGCTTACTAACCCTATAAGTAAACACCTCAATTCCAACATCCACACATCCTATGAATTATTCTACATATGAAATTAATGGTTTTCCCACTTGACACTTGATGTTTAACGATGATTATGATCACAGATATTTTAATTACATCGCATACTACTATTATTATTATCATCATTTTATGTATTCACAGATTTGTTTAAATTTCCTCACGGGATATGATTTGTTAATAAAGTTAATACATATATACGATTGCGCGGCTTGATAATAAATTCGTTGTTGGAATGAGCCTTTTCGATGAATATTGTATTCCTAACTTGTTAAATGGCGTCGGTGGCATGGCGGTTAGGACGCTCGCCGACCATACACATGGTCCGGGGTTCGATCCTCGGCCGACGCACTCCTTTACCTCGCTAAGCCAGAAATAATGCTAGTGAAGAGGAAAGGTTGGGTATGAGGCTAGCAACCCCATCCTGTAAAATAAACACTGCTACAGAACCTTCAAGCCACTAGCTTGAAGCCCTATGTTCCACTAGGGAACATGGAAAAAAACTTGTTAGATAACAATAGCTTTTGAAAATACCTGAGTACTACATCTTATTTGTTTGAATTCGCCCACGAATTTCTGTTTCATTGTCTATTCCTCTGCACGTTATATAAGTCAAGTAATACCTCATCCATTACCCTGTAATTGAAATACTCCATTTTTACTGATAAGGGATTCTTTAGACTAATAACTACAAATATTCAAATTCTATAGGCTTGGAGGAAATATAGCCAATAAATTTGATCTAGTGAACATGTGAATACATTTCAGTTAAAAGAATCTAAAAGAAATCTAACAGGTATCAGTCGTTACCGTTCTATAAACAAAACACCGGTTACACTAATATTTCTACAGGCATTACTCAAATCATCAAACTTGAACGAGGAAACACATGAAGAGGTACGTTAAACAGTAGTTTGTACAAGAACGAGTTGATATCATTATAAAAATGTTCTGTTCTCGTCGGATTTCCCAGCATCACCCTGCGTGGTTAAGTAAAGGACAAACTAAATCTATTCGCAGCCTTATTGTATCTCATCTTGTGGATACAGAACACAAGATTGATGTTAACAAGGCGGTTTTCGAAGTCACTTACCGCATACTAACAAATCTTAACTTCGCCTTAGGAGTTCAATTACTATATATTTCTGAGGCTGTTGGGATCCATATTAAGAAGCCTAATTTGTGCGTCTAAAAGAAGCTAGTTCAAACATTATCCTTACCTAGGTTTGAATGATCCTTAATTTTTGTGGATATTCTATTTGCTATTATATCTTTTATTATTATTATTTAAGCATCTTTAATGAACTGTAATTCCATTGATCTCACTTTACAAATTGATATTATTTAAAAAACACTAATATTGTTATAGACTACTATTCTAGTTTATTCTATGTATATAAACATATATATATAATTGTAGAGCCAGAAGAGGAGGAAATTATCGAAAAGGATATTCTTTGCTCAATTAGTTTGTGTTTTATAGATGTCTGAATGAATATTTACGCTATACTGGACTTTACACAAAGTTTTATTTTCTAATCAGCACATTTTATTTTAGAAGACCAATAAATTAGTGAAAGTTGTAAAACTTTCATTTCATTTCATCAATAAAAATTGGTGCATTAATAATCATAAATAATACCTCTGGAAGTATTGACTTTTACTGTATGTATTACTAAATTATTAAAATTAAACAAACCGCTTCAATGATTCAAATACAATATAAATAAAAATAAGCAATACATTTTCAAAATATAAAGAAAAACAAAGAAAACAGAAATTGAAAACTGAATATCTTTTTTCTTTCAATGTTGAATATTATTGTAAAACTATTTCGTCTGCTTGATAAATTCCACGAGCTTAGGTAATACTTTACAATAATGAACAGCAGTTAACTCATCAGTCAAAATGTTAGTCAGTGTTGCTTTTTCACTGTTAGACCATTTGTCTGCTGCTAGCTCAAGAATGGGTAGTATTTCTTTGTTCGATATAAATTTCACAGGTGTATTCAATGTTTCAATATTGAATTTAGCTTTACCTGGAGAGATTTCAGCAAATTTATCAAAAATTACAACGAGATTTTGATGAGTTTTGATTAATTCACAAGGGCATTTATTTGAATCAGGCATTTGTAAAATTGTATTCCAAGTTATTTTGACATTGGATTGTGATATATGCGTTATTGCAGTATTTATACTGTTATTTTGAATTTCATGAACTTTTAAGAAATATATCCCATTGGATTTGTGACATACTGAATTATATATGTCATTTAAAAGTAATTGAGTGTCATTAACTTTGTCTGTACATACAGGGCATACAGTTTTCACTTTGGATAGGTTACCTTTCAAGGGAGTTTTAGTTGTAGGTGTTGGTTCACTTGAAGTCCTATGGAGCATTTTATCCATTTTATCCCAAGCTGCTTTACAATCATTTAATCGATAAGTGACAGTAATACTTTCTTCTGGTGAATAATATTCATAGGCTGTTATTGTTGCATTCTTGGCATTTTCTACATAATAGGCTTGATTGATTGGCACATCAACACATCGTTTCAGTTGCTTCCAGTCGCCTAACTCTTTAGCTTCTTCTTCAGAAAATTCATTAAAATACAATGAAATTTCATTTTGTTCATTGATAGTCAACATTTTTAAAGAATCATCCTCAGGGCCTAATTGTAGATTCAATTGTTCAACTATTGGTTTCCATCCAGTCACCATAGCAACGCGTATCAATAACATCCCTGTACTTATAGGGTTTTCATCTATTCTAGAATTTAACTGTAAACACATAACGAGTTTAGCTGTTTTACAGTTTGCATCATCTGTTGGTGATGTTTTTTGAATTATTTGGTATGACAGTTGAAATTTCGTATTAACATTTTCTACTTCAGGTAAATTATAAATGAAGGTATTCTGTACTAGCATACAGTCTTTTACAGGTTGATTACTTGTTAATTTCCAAACAGAATGTATCACTTTATCATCGTTATCAGCATCAACATCAGCATCTTTGAATTCAAGATTTGGTAATTCAATCTGATTGATAACTTGTCGTTTTTCTAAAGTTATTGAATCATTCATATTGAAATTACCAATATTTACATGATTTGATATCTGAAGAACATTATAGGATGCATCTGTTTCGTCTTCCTCTTCATTATCATTATTATTATTATTGTTATTACTATGGACGCCTAATATCTTAGCGAACTCAGCTATCGCTTCCAGTCCAAGTACTGTATCTTGTGTTGAATAGAAGCCACCGTTTGACTTTTGTTTTGAACTTATCCAACGTATAATTGGGAATAAAGCATTTACTGGTTGATGAAGTCGACTTAAACTTAGAAAAGCATAAGCTGTTGACTCTAAATCACGTGGTTCAATATTGTTATTGTTATTATTATTACTGTTAAATGTATTTGTTGCAGATTTATCAAATTTATCTGACCAGTAAATCATTTCACCGAATTGATCCTGAATAACTTGTTCTCTTTTGATTAGATTATCTTTTAATTCATTAGTGAAATGAGAATTCGGTTGAATTAGTGCATACGTATGAGTGATTTGTACAAGCGCTGAAGTCGGCAATTCATCATACGACTCAAGTTGCAAAAGATATTGACTTAAACATTTCAATCCACCGTTGTATGCATCTTTTGCTCTAATAGTATACTTAATATTTAGATTATTGCCAGCCTCATTTGGTTGTGTTTCAAACAAAGCTGAACTAACATAACTAGTAAGCAGAATATCCTTTAATTGAGATCCATCTCTTCCAAGTATACCTCCTTGTAATGGTGAATAGATAACTTTTCCATGTTCCTCAAAACATCCAGTGCCAGCATTTTGACGTGTTTTTAAGAATTTTACGCCATCTCTGAATAGATTCTCCCATTCAATATTTAAAGTTGGCTCCAGTTTATATGCCTTAGCAAATACACGTACTACAAATGCAGTCAACCATGTACTGCCTTGTTTGTCCGACTTACCGAAAGCAGAAAAGGATCCATCATCTCGTCTATATTTCAACTGTTGGACATAACCTGATGTAATGTGTGATTTAGCTGCTTCAATATAATTCTCTTTATTCTCATTGATAGTTGGTGTAGACTTTAAATAGTCTAATATGTAAACATTAGGCGCTACCAGTACCATATTCTGTTCTCCACAACCAGTAGGTAGGCGTACAAGTTTGTCTAAGTTGACCAAAGCAGGTCCTAATACTTCATCACTATATGATATATAACTATGTAGAGAGTTCTTAATCATATTTTTAGGTAACACAAATTCAAACTTGCGCTCTGATTGATTTTCTTGTTCACTTAAACATATAATGTCACTGATAGTTGTTTCATGTTGAACACCTTCAGGTATCACATTGATGTGGCGACGGATTTTATCAGTTAGTAACTTTGATTGAAATCGTTTCCTTTTGAATATATTCGACTGGGCTGTTAAAGCATTTTTAAGTTCACTGTATTCTATGGACTGACATGACTGACTATTCTTAATGGCCAATGCTTCAGCAGTTATGTTCAGCTTACCTAAGCGTTTTGCTTGTAATCCGATGAGATAAGTTGTCTTGTCACCGGAACACAAACAACCAGAGTGTTTAGTTGTACCGACAACTAACCAGTCATCATTATTTACTTGTACATCAACTAAGATTTCATAACATTCTGATAAGTTGGAATTTTCTGGTATTTGTAAATACTTTGTATCCAGAATAAACATACTCACAGGGATATGCAAAATTTCACCACGTTTCATTTCTTTGGGTGGCGTTATTTCCAAATAAAAAGGCATATTTACAGTGACTGTTTGTGATTCACCAATCCATAAACCATTCGATTTTGTTGTACAATACGCTGATGCTCTCCAACTTGTTATAGTATCTGGTACTGTAAGACTTAGCTGTATGCCCCTTGATTTGTTGATTTCACTAGTATCTGTGTTCGTAGCCTTTGCGTCAACTTCATGACTGATTTTTAGATCAGTGATTGGCAACACTCGAAACAACCATACTTCAGGAAAGAAGTCTCTTAATCGTGGTTTTTCTGGACTTTGTGTGCTGACTGGATCAACGTGGTTATTACCGATTCCCATATCGTACAGGACACCTGAGATACTCGGATTTGAAAATTGAGGGCAGGCGTCTACAGGATGAATAAGCATTGTCTCTGGATACGTTGAACCAATCTGAAAACCAGCAGCTTGAAAGGCTTCTTGTGTTGAAGTAGCTATAGAAGGTTGTTTTCTACTTTGCATAGCATAATCAACTAATTTTTCAGTGAAAGATTTTAAATTAATCAAATTTTTATCACCTTGGAAGTTATCTAGTGATGTATCAGAGATCCTGATGAAGCACAACTCATTTGACAATTGACCTTTATTTCTGCAGAGTTTTCTTGATAGATTATAACAACTGTTGTCTTGATCCATCAACGATGTTGCTGACGATGATACACCTTGAGGAGTAATGGTCATTTGAATTTTCTTACCAGGATGTGCGACATTTTGACTAAATTCTATATTACTTTTATGTGATTTCGATTGAATTGCGATTGCATTACTTGTACAGTTTTCAATATTTTCCACATTTAATTGAGTTGAAATAATCTCAGGTGACGCGTTATCTTGTTGATTGTGAATATAAATTATAGCTGTAAAGCTTGGTCCCCATGATCCATTAATTGTAAACTCTATGTGTCGTTGATAAAGTGTTCGAAGTGGTTTCGTTTTTATTTGTGATGAATTTGTTGACGAAGGGGAAGAAATGAAAGAACTTTCCAATTCATCAGTTGGATTTACTCCATTTACACTTTTTTTAGTATTTATTTCATTATCTTTTGTAATTTCTTTATAAACTACAGTTTTACGATCACAATAATGACCAGTCCAGCCATCTTCACAGACACAATCATTGCCGTGAACACATGTGCCGTATAAACAATTTTTACGCTCTACACACTTATCACAATTGACATTCTTCCATCCTGATTTACACTGACACTCACCAGGTTTTGCACACAGGCCACCTTTAGGATTACAATCTGTAGAACAGATAGGCACTAAACAATTTTCACCTTGCCAACCTGGTAAACATTTAATTTCCTCTGGATTTACACCCGTACACTCATAATGTCCTAACTCATCATCACGATCAACACAATCATCAGTGATGTCGTTGCTGGTCATTTTATCAATTGCTGGTATCACAATCTTCTTGTGTTCACCTCTTACCATTGATTCGATAAAAATGATTTTATCTGACAAATGTATGTTTGATAACAGAACTAATTTGACTGTATTAGGACATGTTGTGATGAAAATTCTATCTCTGGGTGGCCATAACTGTAGGTAAACTTTGCTAATTGAATCCCATGATTTTAATGTCACACTGTGAGGAACTGGACTGCTTTGTGATGACCGTGGTTTACGAGACCATAAATGGTAATTAATATGTACTAAAGTAGTTTTTTTCGGGGAATTTTCTCTTGCATCTTTGGAGGTTGACTTTACTGATGATAATGGTGATGCGGGTAATTGCACTTCAAAAGTTAACATTAATTCAGCTTCAATTAATATTGAATTTTCAGATTGTAGTGGTGGTATATGGATTACACCTTCATTTAGTGAGTTCAGTGGTATAGTGTTGAAGTAATATTCTGTACCTTTCTCACTGCCTGTCTGAAAACAGCTCCGTTTCTGTTCAGAGACAGATATCTTTACGCTATAATTCCTACTCTTTTCATGATTTGTTAATTTCACTCTCCCAGTTATTGGTAATTTGGATTTATATACACTTGGGAATTCCAACTTTAAATTCGGTTGACCAGTTTTGATTTCATGACCTTTCAGACAGTTGTATAGCTTAGAACCAGTACCATCCTCTTCAACATGAGCGCATAAAATGCCTATTTGATTCCATTTAAAATATTTCTCTGTAGAAAAGGCGAATTGTTTAGTAGATACATTGAAACTGGCACAACCATCACTGTGTAATAGTTGATTATGTATAATACATGGTCGAAGATTTAATGTGTAACCAGTAGATGGACACCGACGAGATAATAATACCGATTCTGCAGTATTTTCATCATTCTCCTTAGAATATTCATTATCCCATGCATATTCAGAACAAACACAAAGAATTGATTTTACAGAACCTTTCACTGGTGGTCCATTTGTATACTTTGCACAAACTGAATATCGGACGTACTCAGAATCAAAATTGAAAACTTTTGGAGTTTCTAATGATATGGTAAACTTTGGAAGGGTATATTTCTTCACTGTGAATTCAAGTGTTTCTTTTAAATGACGTCCGACAACAGCATGCACTTTCCATTTACCTTCAACAGTGTTATTCAATAACTGGTAAGTTAAACTTAAGGCTTTTTTAGGCGAAATGTTTAACCATTGTTTAACATGATTATCCATAGGATCAGTTATATAGATTTTCTTATAAATTATATTTTCTAATTTAGATAAATCATTATGATTTACATCTATTAATTGAAATTTTGATTTTCTTCTGATTATAAGCTTTTTCTTAGGCAATGGAGTATAAGTTGATTTCGGTGATAAAGTCTTCATATTTAAGGCTAAATATCGAAAATTTACAGACTCACCAGGTCTATACAATGGTTTATCAGTTTCACCAATAATAACAATTGGTAACTGTTTTAACTGAACAGAGTGGACAATTTCAGTAACTTTGTAATTGATACATTGACTGACACTCTTAAGGTTTTTATCATCATCATCATCATCACCTTGTTTCCTTTCATCCTTTTTATAACAATGCTTAAAATTAAATATCATTTTAACCGAAATCGATTCTTGACGATCAAAGATAAAAGGAACTTGATAGGGAATATCTAAACCATACCAATTTTGAGATATATTCAATCGAGTCAACTTGTAGACATTCTTATCTTTGATTGTTTTTGACAATCCAGTCAAATTCAATGCAATACTGAGTTTAGTTCTTGGTTGACGACTTCGTACAGTAATTAAATTTATTTGGCCTAAATAAAATTCATTTGGTAAGATAACATAAGTCACATTGACTGGATCATTATGAATTCTTGGTAGTATAGTCATTACATTTTCAGCATTATCTGTAGTTCTAGGTGTAGTTGACGCATAGTTATTTGCCTTACTGACTGGAGCAAGCATTGGCGTAGACGTAGAAGCGGTTGTGGAATACGTTGCATTATTTTCTATATTACATTGTACAAGTATTATTAACGTGTATAAGAATAATAATGATGGTAACATCATCTTGAGAGAGTGATAAATTATATCACCCAGCATTCTGATATGAAAAGTTTTGATATATATATATATATATTCAGGGTGTGCGTATCTGTTTATGTGGATGTGTTATTTGTGAGCAGGATGATCTTATTCAATCATATTGATAGAAAATAAGAGATTGTTACACTGTTCCGTAAACTGTTGTCGTTATTATATCCATTAAGTTATGATATTCCGGTAATGTCTGACCTAATTTCAAAAGCATTCATTATACTTCTAATGCTAATACTAATGATACTACTGTTGGCATCATTACTACTACTATTATTATAATAAATATTATTACCAAACACAACTTTAATATTACTTCAGAAAATATCATGAGAATTAAAGAGCCTATAAATAGAACACTATTTGTTTATTTGCATACCTTTATATGTGTGTATCTGTGCATTTGTGTGTTCAATATTCTCAATTATACAAAAGTTTCTTGTTTTAATTCTTCAAAAATGTTTTGTTTTTATATCTGAAAAATTAGTTTACAGTATTATCTATATTAATTAGAAATTGACATTTCTGGTTGCATAGAAAAAGACAAAACATTAAATATCACAATTGTCAAAATTGAAGATGTAAGAATCAGTCAACAGCCTGGTTGATTTACTTCACCCGAATGACATCAAAAGCCTTTGTGAAGTGAAGATGTGATCTACTTTTCGTAATAATCATCTAGTGATCATCTTTGTCGACGAAGAGTCAATCTCACATTTTCTCAACAACAGCAACAACAACAACAACAAGAAAAAATGAAGCTAGCGAATTCATAACTGTTCATTTTGAGCAAATTTATCTCTATCATAGTAAATCATATTCTCAAACACAATATTTGATCTATTTGATACCAGAAAAAAGAAAGAAGAAAAAAAGACAAATTAAGTTGCATGGTTATATATATATATACATACTGGTAGTCGGTAGCTACCAGTCTCGTCAAGCGACAGTGCCCGTTACTCCGACTAAAGTGACTTAAACACCTGTAGGATGATTGACTAGTGTTTGACACTGAATTGATCGGCTGTGTGGCTCAACTTTGAGAAGCAATTCATCGAAATGGTTATTCGATGTTTACACCACTTCGATTTTATTGGCTAACCACCAGATTGTTCGACATGGATGGCTTCCAACTACTACTTAGAGCAATCTGTAGTGTATATACCGTCATACATGTTTAAATCACTGTAACCAGTGAATGTTCTATGTTTGACTGACAATTCACTGTATAATAAAGATTTTTTGTATTTCCCAATGAATGAATGAATGAAAAACAAAACGATATTGTTGTTTTTACTGACGTTTCGCTATTTAATGCTGTTGCAGCAGAGGCATTGAAAGTGGACCCAGAGACAACAGCGGACTTGATTATGCCACTACTGGAGAAGGTGTGGAAAGAAGGCAAAGTACCCGAGGATTGGAAGAAAGGATACTTATTCAAACTACCAAAGAAAGGAGACTTAAGTCAATGCAAGAACTGGCGCGGAATTATGCTCCTGTCCATCCCAAGCAAAGTACTACGCCGCATCATCCTGGTAAGGATCAAACAAGCCCTGGGTCAAAAACTCCGACCAGAACAGGCTGGATTCAGGAGAAACAAGTCATGCATTGATCAGCTCGCCACATTATGGATCATCATTGAACAAAGTTTGGAATGGCAGTCACCTCTCTATCTCAACTTCATCGACTTTGAAAAAGCCTTCGACAGCGCAGCGTCGGTCGAGAGGAGATTTGGAAACTACTTCGCTACTACGGGGTGCCGCCGACAATTATACATCTCATCCAACAGTTGTATGACAACGCTGCATGCCAAGTAATCCACAACGGGAAGCTCACGGAATCCTTCGAAGTGAGGAGAGGAGTAAGACAAGCTGGCTGCCTACTATCGCCAATGATTTTCCTGATTGCAGTTGACTGGATAATGCGACAGACAGCGGGCAATGAGGAAACAGGCATAAAATGGACTCACACGAAAAACCAACTTGGAGGATCTGGACTTCGCCGATGTGGTGTATTTCTGATTTCCCACAAACTGGAAGATATGCAAGTGAAAAGCAACAAGTTGGCAGAAGAAGCATCCAGAGAAGATAGGACTTCAGGTGAACATAGAGAAAACGGAGGTGATGAAGATTCCTGGCCAACACCAACAGCCCCAGCAACAACAACAGACAGCAATCAGCATAAATGGAAGGAACCTGAAAGAAACTACCTCTTTAACCTACATGGGAAGCATCGTTTCAACTACAGGCGGACCGAAATGATGAGGATATCAAAGCAAGAATCGGAAAAGCAAGACAAGCTTTCACTGCTCTCAAGTCTGTGTGGAGGTCAACAGCACTCAGCATCAAAAATAAGATCCAGATTTTCAACTCCAATGTGAAGTCAGTGCTACTCACTATACGGATCAGAGACTTGCACTTCGCGTCATAAAGAGCATCTCAAGCAAACTACAGACCTTCATTAACAGTTGTCTTTGCTCAATACTCAAGATCAGATGACCAGAAAAGATCACCAACAGAGATCTCTGGCAATGAGCGAACCAACTCAGCAGGAACCGATTGTGAAACAAATAGGCAGGAAGAAATGGAGATTGATTGGCTGGCCATACTCTGAGGAAACAATCCATCAAGTGACATCACTAGACAAGGCATCGCTCGAGTGGAACCCGAAAGGGAAACGGCGAGTTGGTCGTCAGTGCAAGGGTGACTTGGAGGAGGTCATGTGAAGAGGAGATGAAAACGTATGGGCAGACTTGGAGCCAGGTGAAGACTGTAGCAGAGAACCGAACGCAATGGAGACGCATGTTCCTCTAGGAACTAAAGGAAATAATAATAGCTTTATCAAAGTAGTAATGTTAAACCAGAATTTACAAAATCCATTCAGCTTACATATATATCAACTTAATCATCGTTCCTCAGCATGGGTTATTTTTGCGTTGTCGAATTGGCCAATTGGTAAAGATAATAAAACCAGGTGTAGATTGTTGGATTTGGTAAGTATGTAAAATTATAAAAGCAGCGTGTGTTTACATAATGAAATTGCTTATCACATTCGTGTTGACTTTGTGATTCACTTGTTTGTTCATTAATTACTAGTCGGTGGCACAGCGGTTAGGACTCTCGCCTACCATGCAAATGGTCTGGGGTTCGATCCCCGGCCGACGCACACCTGATATCAATGGTTGGCCTGAAAATTTGCGCTATAGATATCACGTGCTGAAAATTCGACACTTGTACCAAAATACAGTTTGGAATCAAGCTATAATCTAAAATTTAAAAAAAATTAAATCAACTTTGGTAATTAAGATACTGTGCTGTCCAGGTAGGTTTTCTATAAATAGATCTTTTTATTGACCCGTCAAGCTGTCGACTAAGCAATATGTCTAGGAAAGATAAACAATTATCTTCCTCTTCTACAGATGTAAGTGATATGCTATTCTGAAATTCATTCATCCGATTTAAAATTGAGGTGGCAGAACAAGACTTATCACTGGTGATTACAATATCGTCTACATACCTTCTATAAAGTGGCACATTTTCGATTAAATCCTCCGATAAATTCTGAATGTGCGACATATAAATATCTGCTAAAAGGGGCCCTAACGGACTTCCCATAGCAACACCATCAACTTGGCGGAAACAATCGCCTTCAAATGTAAACCTAACACTGTTAGTACATAGAAGTAATAAATCTTTAAATAAGATATAGGGAACGGGATGAAAAAATTGTTTCTGGAAATATAATCACACAAAAATGTCAACTGTTTTGAGCAAAGGCACATTAGTGAATAACGAGTTTACATCAAAAGAGTACATAATCTTATTCATAATATTAATATTACTATCGTCAAGAAAATCAACCAATTCAAAACAGTTGACATTTTGTGTGATTATATTTCCACAAACAATTTTTTCATCCCGTTCCCTATATCTTATTTAAGGGATTTATTACTTCTATGTACTAACAGTGTTAGGTTTACATTTGAAGGCGATTGTTTCCGCCAAGTTGATGGTGTTGCTATGGGAAGTCCGTTAGGGCCCCTTTTAGCAGATATTTATATGTCGCACATTCAGAATTTATCTGAGGATTTAATCGAAAATGTGCCACTTTATAGAAGGTATGTAGACGATATTGTAATCATCAGTGATAAGTCTTGTTCTGCCACCTCAATTTTAAATCGGATGAATGAATTTCAGAATAGCATATCACTTACATCTGTAGAAGAGGAAGATAATTGTTTATCTTTCCTAGACATATTGCTTAGTCGACGGCTTGATGGGTCAATAAATCAACTTTATTAATACTAGTCCATATTGACTCAGTTTAGAGTTAAAGAAAAGGATTAAGTATATATATAATGATGAGTATTGTGTGCTAAATGCACAAATTTTTTCAAACTATTAAAATTGAAATAGTTGATTGTTTACAGGATTTCATCATGAGCTGATATCTGAGAGAGAACCATTGGAAAACCACCAGGGTGTACTGGACAGTTGTTTCGTCAGCCTAGTTTTTTGAATCTTCATCAGTGCGCACCCACGAGAGTTTGAACTCAACACCTTCCGGTTACTAGGTGAGCCCCTGGGTTCGAACTCCGACGGGTGCGTTATGATGAAGATTCACAAACTAGGCTGACGAAACAGCTGTCCAGTACACCCTGGTGGTTTTCAAATGGTTCACTATCCAATGTGAGCTCATGATGAAATCCTGTAACCAGTTAAAAGTGAATTTGGTTTCGACGTGTATAAACAAAAGCGTCTTAGTTGTACTATAAAATGAGGATTATTGGTTTAAGAATGCAATATTCAACGAAAAGACTCATTCCAACAACGAATTTATTATCAAGCCGCGCAATCGTATAAATGTATTAACAATATTAACAAATCATATCCCGTGAGGAAATTTAAACAAATCTGTGAATACATAAAATAATAATAATAGTAGTAGTATGCGATGCAATTAAAATATCTGTG